TGGGGGAGGATAGCGGTATGGGTATCTTTCCCCCGACAGTGTGTGCCCTTCTGGTCCCTTGAATTTCGCTCCCGAGGTAACTCAGCCCCGGTGCCGGTCTGCCCAGCCCGTCGCCGCCCGTTGCCGCCCGTCGCCGCCTGTCGCCGCCGTCGCCGCTGGGCCCCGGTGCCGGTCCAGCGGGCTCGTTGCCGCCCGTGGCCGCTCGTCGCCGCCGTCGCTGCTGGGCATCGCTCTGCATGGCCTCGCATCGCATCGCATTGCCTGAGCATCGCTTGCCACTGCTTGGCATTGCCTCGAATTGCGTTTCGCTGCTTCCTATTGCTTGTCCTCGCTCTGCTTTGATCGGTGGTGCTTCGCATGGCAGTGCGTTGCAATACATGACTCTGGATGGCTTTGCATCGCGTTGCATCGCATTGCATTGCAATCGCATCGCATGGACTTGCGATCGCATTGCATTGCGGTGCATTGCATTGCAGTGCTTTGCACCGCAATGTATTGCTTTCCATTGATTTGCGTTGATTAGCATTTCTTTGTAATGGTTTGCATTGCTCTGCAGCACATATGTTGCATCACATGGGTTGCACCACCAAGACTGCACCACATTGATTGCACCACCTAGGTCGCACCGCCTGGACTGCAGGAAATCATTGTCTGGGGTCCACGCTGGCTAACATGTCATTCTCTGAGCCTGAAGCAACATGCCCTCTTGCAGAAGCCTGAGTAACCCTGAGATCCGACGCCACCAAAAATCCAGCATCGTAGAATCACCTCGACTGGAGCACTGGACACAATATTTCTGCTACACATTTCTAGCTGGATCGATCGGTGAGGGACTGGGGCCCCGAAGTATTGCAACTTCGCCAGATGCGAACAGCAATGAAACGCCAGGATCTCACGGAAATTCTCGTGGGTTTTACAATCGAGAAAACGCGAACGGCGAATCACCGCCGCCCCTTGTCTTTTCGGAAGCGTCTATGTGGCCGAACGTTGCGGCCAAGGCTCGGCTAAGCTATCGGACTGCGTGTTCCCCAAGCCGTTGTGGAAACCCTTCGGGGTACACGTGGGAGATAAACAAAATTCAAGAGGAGGGGAGGAGGAGAGGGAGAAGGAGGAGGAGGAGGAGGAGGACGAGGAGGAGGAGGAGAAGGAGCCCTCTTGGGAGTCTTTTGAACCCCTGTTGGGTCCTCCTGGGAGCTCCCTAGGGGTTCCTGGCCCTTCTGACGCCGTCGGACGCCGTCTTGGCGGCCTCCCTGGGCCGACTTGGGCCTTCTTGGGGCGCTTCATCACCGTCTTGGAGCATTTGGGGATCTCGGAGGCCTTGTGAGCGCTCCTTGGGCCATCTTGGTGGCCTCTGGGGCCCCCTTGAGCACAGGAGCCGAAAATGAGCAAACGCCAGACTCCGTCAACCACTTATAGAAAGTCAATGACTTCGGGCTCTTCCAGGCTTCCTGGAGGTTCTCGTTGAGGCCTCTTGGGCCAAATTGTAAGTCTCTTGGGCGGTCTTGAGGTCATCTTGGGCCATCTTGATGCAAGTTGGAGCCTTGTTGAGTCTATCGTGGGCTCTTGTGAGGTCGTCTTGGCCGTCTTGGGGCCCTCTTGGAATCATATGAGGCGTTCCAACAAGGGCCTTGCCTTCGAGGATCGAATGAGTTGCCATCTCTTCCTCGAGGAAAGGTCGGCGGAAGGTCAGCGGAAGTAAAACGAGGCCGCCTCCGTGGGCGGAAGCCGGCGGAAGGCTGGCGGAAGGCGGCGGAAGTAAAAGATGCGCCCCCAAGAGATGAAACCGTTTTTTGGCTCAGGGTTTCCGAAATCCGCCATGTTGGAGGCCATCTTGAACCCTTGAGGCATCTTGGAGGCCATCTTGGGCCGGCTTGGCCGTCTTGGACGCGATGGGGCCAATGGAGAACAAGATTCTGTGCGTTCGGGGAAGCCAGAGGGTGGGCCGAGACCCAATTGGAAGTTCATTCGACAAGAACCAAAACCCCTTCAGAAATCCAGCACGCCGTGCACACCTGTGGCAGGCCAACAGGGGGCGGCGGATCGAAGACGCCTACGGTGAATCACCACCGCCCCCTGCCTTTTGGAATCGCCGATGTGGCCGAGCGTTGTGGCAAGAGCTCTGCCAAGCTATCGGGAACCTCTTGGGGCACTCGTGGGGCCGCCTGGGAGCTTCATAGGGGGCGGCTTGGAGGCCTCTTGAGAGCCTTTGTGGGTTTCTCGGGGGCCCCTTGGGCTGTCTCAAGGCGTTCCTGGTCCGTCTGACGCAGTCGGGGGCCGTCTTGGGAGCCTTTCGGAACCGACTTGGGGCCCTCTTGGGATGATTCATAGCCGTCATGGAAGCCATGTTGGGCGTTTGCAGGCCTCTTGGGCTGTCTTGGGGCCTTCTTGGGGCCATCTCGGGGGGCCTCCTGGGTTGTCATGGAGCCATCTTGGAGGTCGCAAGGGCCATCTGGAGGCGATCTCAGGGGCAGGCCGTCTGGGGCCGTCCGAAGGCCGAACAGAAGCAAATGCCAAACTCCTTCAACCACCCGAGACCAATCAACGATTTTGGCCTCTTCGGGCTTTCCTGCAGGACCTCTTGGAGGCCTCGTGGGCAGTCTCGGAGGCCTCTTGGGGGCCTCTTGGGTCGTCCTCCGTCATCTTGAGGCCATCTTGGGCCGTCTTGGAGGCTTCTCGGGTGAATTTGGAGGCATCTTTGGACGTTCTTGGGCCGTCTTGGAGGCCATCTCGGACCATCTTCGACGATCTTGAGGGCCATCTTGGCCGTCTTGGAGGCCATCTTGCGTCATCTTGGGCCGTCTCGGGGGCCTCTTGGGGCCGTCGCGGGGGGCCTCCTGGGTTGTTCTGGAGCCATCTTGGAGGCCGCACGGGCCATCCGGAGGCGATCTCAGGGGCCTCTGGGGGCAGAAGCAAATGCCAAACTCCTTCAAACACCTAAGGCAAATCAATGATTTTGGCCTCTTCGGGCCTTTCTGCAGGACCTCTTGGAGGCCTCGTGGGCCGTCTCTCTTGGGCCGTCTTGGAGGCTTCTTGGTCAATCTTGGAGACATCTTGGACGTTCTTGGGCCGTCTTGGAGGCCATCTCAGACCATCTTGGGCGAGCCTGAGGGCCATCTTGGCCGTCTCGTAAAAGTTTGCAACCATCCCTGGGCCAGCCTTCTGGGTGGCCGGCGGCATTGGCCGAAGCACTAGAGGGAGTTCTAAAACAATCGAAGCCTCTTAAAATCTGGCAGGCCAGGCGCCCTTGTGGCAAGCCAACAGTGGGCAGCGGATCGATTGGCCTTCGGCTAATCCCGCCGCCATGCCTTGGACGGATCGTTTGGTGACTCGAGGCCCTCTTGGACCGTCTGAGAAGCCTCTCGAGGCCCGCTTGGCCCGTCTTTTGGCCCGTCTTTGGGTCCTTTGGGCCCAAAGAAATCATGTGGGAAGACACCCCGGGCGTGCCGGAAGCCTCGGGAAGATTTCAGAATGCAGGGTCTGAGGCTCAGGATTTGAAATTTGGGCTCAGAGGATTGGGCTTCAGGGGCCTGGGGACGCTCCCACCTGTGCCCCGCAGCCACGGTGGCGGATAGCACATTCCTGGCTGTGCCCGAAGGCGTCGCCGAGCGCGGCGCGCCGCCACGCGAGGGCACCAACGCCAACTCCGGGCGCCAGTCCGCGCGCCAGTCCGCGCGCCAGCGCGGCGGCGGCGCCGAGCAGGCGGTCGCCGCGGCCCCGGCGCAGGGCAGGCCCCGCTCCGGCAGGGCAAGCCCCGGCAGTCGTCTCACCCGCGGATGCCCTGAGATCCTGGAGTCGCGGTTTGTGTTCACAGCGGGCGAGGGTGCCTCCTTTCGGGCCCAAGGGCCCTCACGGATCGATCTGGCTCGAGAGATGTTGCAGGAAGATTCGGTCCAGGGCTCGGGTCGTGGTTTTGTTGTGATGTTGCGTGGCGGGAAACATGGCGACGCAAGGTGTGCGTTTTCGGCCTCCAGGGACCCTCAGCGGGCCCCAGCACCGCCAGAGAACGGCTCGGAATGAAAAGCCGGCCCCAGGGAAGGGGTCCATGCTTTTGGGGGTCTTCGTCGTGGAAAATCACGGCGTCGGAATTCTCGCCAGCGGATTGACTGCAGAGGAGGAGGAGCGGGCGAGTCCTGGTGGGCATGCCGCCATCGTCGTCGTCGTCGGTCGTCGATCGGCCCCCGGGCCAGATATAACAGGTCCACGTGGGCCGAAATCGGGGAAAGAGGTCGTGACTGAAAAAAGGACGCGTCGTTCCCGACCGCCTGCCTTTGGCGCATAAAACGCCCATCCAACGTTGTTGCGTCGACGCTCCCCCCCCCATGGCCCACATTTTAATCCTTCCTTCGCTGTCAATCTAGCAGTGCAGGCATCGGCACAACAGACGCCCAGAAGTTCAACCCGCAGACACACCCGTGCTCAACACTGAAGGCGGGGGACGCAGGGGCTCTCCGCGCATGGGCGCGGACTCCTCCGTTTCGTGGGCGACTGTACGCCCATCCCCCAGACCTGACGCTGCAGCAACCATATGCCACGTCGCAGACACCACCCCCGGCGCCCCGGGCCCCATCTCCCTGCCTCCTTCTTCGAGCCGGGTCGATGCGCGAGGGCCCCGAGGCCCGACGCGGGCGACCGCCCGCCGCCCGGGCGGGAGCGCCCGCGGCGACCGACGGGGTATAGCGCCAGGATCTCGCCGCCACTGGCGGTGGCCCGTGGCCCGAAGGCCCGCCGGCCCGGCGGCGGCCCCGGCGCGCGGCCGCAACGGAGCCGCCAAGCAGGGCGCGGCGGCCCAGCCCCGGGCGGGTGGCCCGGAGGGCCAGGCCGCGGGCAGGCGCGGCAGTCAGGAGCAGGGCTGGACCTATAAGACGGTGTTTTTGGTGCTTTCGTGGGCCGTGTTCGTTTGGACTTCGTTCTGCGGTAGAGAGGCGGGTTCGAGACAAGAGCGAGGGCAAACGACGGCAAGACGAAAACGAAAAGCACCGTCTAGGTTCAGCCCTGGCCAGGAGGTCGCCCGCGGTCCGCAGCAGCCTGGCGGCAGGGAGCCCTGGGGAGGAGGGGCAGATTGCTGGACGCTTCGCGCTGGCCCACCTCGCCGAGCGGTGAAGAATCGTCCTTGCCTGGCCTATAGGCTATATAGGCCCGCCAGAGGACATTCCAAGAACCAGGTGCCGTGTGCACGGGATGATGATATTGGAACACGTTTGGCTGAGACTGTCTTGTTTTCATTCGTCGGGCTTGTGTTTTAAACCCATTGTTTTTGTTATTGCATCCTGTTGCTTGTTCTACGAACATGTCGTGGTATGCCTATAGGAATGCCGGGACGGTTGGGCCCTGCTCAAGTTTGGACGCTCCAGCGACTCGCGACCCCCCCCCGTCCAGATCCTTAAGGAGAGGGGGTAGGGGGAGGGGGGTGAAGGGTGAAAACACTCTCGCCACCCGCAAGCTGTCTTGCACAATCGCATCCGCCCTCCCAACACACAAGTAGCACCTGGGCCTCGGTATGTTCAGCGGTCGTCTATGGGTGGGCAGTTCACCGCAACCCGCGGATAATAAAGCATCCCCCCTTTAATTATTGTATTAGTTTAGTGTAGTTTGATTGCCGCAACAGGCGGGGAGGCCGAACATGTTTATCCCTTCCAAGGTTTTCATCGTAGATTTGATCTTCGGGAAGATTGTTCCAGACATGCTACCATCGAGATATGTCCTAAGATGGGGTTCTTGTGATTACTCGGACGCCGCCGACTCCAAAGAGAACACACCTACTCATACACAGACTTACTCATACTCAGACCTACTCATACTCATACCTTCTCATGGTCCGACTTACTCAACACACAACATGCAGGCCTTTCCATATTCCGATATTCTCATGCTGGGACTCCTTCGTACCCAGACTTACTCATACCCAGACTCGTTCCCATACCTGCTCATACACAGACTTACTCGTATTCATACCTACACACACACACTCATACCTTCTCATAGTTTGAGTTGCTCAACGCACGGACTGAGACCTACTCGGATTCAGACCTAGTGATACTCAGACTCGCAAGGGGGGGCCGCCAGGGGTGTTTTCACGGGCCCGTTCGCGGCCAGGTTGTGGGAATGTCTCAGGCGGATTGCTCGTGTTCATGCCCAACATCCTTTGCTTTCAGAGCAGATTGTGAGGATGTCTCAGGCGGGGCGCTGATTTCAGCACCCCGAAGGGGAGCCGCCAGGGGGTAGGACATGGGCCCGTTCGCGGCCAGTTTGTGGGGATGTCTCGCGCGGTTTGCTCGTTTTCATGCCCAACATTCTTAACATTCAGGGCAGATTGTGAGGATGTTTCAGGCGGGGCGCTGGTTCAGCACCCCTAAAAAGGAGCCGCCAGGGGGTAGGACACGGGCCCGTTCGCGGCCAGTTTGTGGGGACGTCTCATGCGGTTTGCCCGTTTCCATGCCCAACATCCTTGGCTTTCAGTTCAAATTTTGAGGATTTCTCAGGCGGGGCGCTGGTTTCAGCACCCCTAAGGGGAGCCGCCAGGGGTGTTTTCACGGGCCCGTTCGCGGCCAGTTTGTCGGGACGTCTCATGCGGTTTTGCCCGTTTTCATGCCCAACACCCTTGGCTTTCACCGCAGGTTTTGAGGATGTTTCAGGCGGCGCGCTGTTTTCAGCACCCCTAAAAAGAGCCGCCAAGGGGTAGGACACGGGCCCGTTCGGGGCCAGTTTGTGGGGATGTCTCAGGCGGTTTGCTCGTTTTCAATGCCCAGCATCCTTTGCTTTCAGAGCTGATGTTGAGGATGTCTCAGGCGGGGCGACGGTTTCAGCATCCCAAAGGAGAGCCGCCAGGGAGTAGGACACGGGCCCGTTCGCGGCCATTTTGCGGGGATGTCTCAGGCGGTTTGTTCGTTTTCGTGCTGCGAGGAAGGGGATGAGGCGTGCTGGTCCCTTGGGTCGTGCTCCGGCACGTACCCTCTGGAACGCACGGAAGAAGGAGTCGATGCGTGCTGGTCCCTTGGGTCGTGCTCTGGCACGTACCCTCTGGGACGCACGGAGGAGGGAGTCGAGGCGTGCTGGTCCCTTGGGTCGTGCTCCGGCACGTACCCTCTGGGACGCACGGAGGAAGGAGTCGAGGCGTGCTGGCCCCTTGGGTCGTGCCAGCGTCTGTGAAACGCGCTCTTCGACGCTTCGCGTCGTCTGAGGACTTGACGGTGGCGAGGGCCGCCCTGCTTGCCGGGGAGTACGGGATAACGCTGCCTGAGAAAGAGTGACGGCCCGTACTCCTTCCTGCCCGATGCCCAGTGTGGACGGCATTTGTTGCCCAGATCCCTCTGCCACTTGCCTCGCACTGCAAAGCCCGACGCCCAGCGCAGACGGCCGTTTGTCTACGCCTGGTTTTCAACTTCGAGAGCCCATGCCGGGTTTCGAGCTGCGCCCCCCAAGCGGATTGGTGCAGCGAGTTTGTGTTTTTCCGAAGCAAAAAATATTAGATTTCCAAGTTGTTCGGTTTTTCTTGGTTCGGAATTTCTTGCGTCGCCGACCCGCTCCGATATTGGGCATTCGGAGTGCGGCTTGCGCGCAATCTCGCTTCGACGCGTCATTCGAGCGGTGTCGCCCCTGCTCTGTTTCCGCCTTGTCTCTTTCAGACTCTGCGGCCATTTTTCTTCGAAAGTCAGAATCGCGTTTTCGGGTATCGTTTCGGCTCGCGGTGGCCTCTTCCGGGGTCTTGCGCGCGTCGTGGGCCGTCTGGAAGCTATCGTGAGTGTCGCGGGCCGATCGTTCGACGACTCGGAGCCCTCTTGGACCGTCTCGGGCGCCTGTTTGGGCCCTCTCGCGTCGCTTCGGGGCGTCTGAAAGCCGCGCCCAGGAGAAGAACCATCTCTGGCCCGACCTGGCCGGGGCACTTTGCGTCCGGGGGCCCTTCTGTGCCGCCGCGCGCGCGAAGTAGAATGCTGCGAGGCAGTCGCCGGAGATCTTCGCGCGCCTCTGAGGCCCGTGGGGCCGGCGAGTCTCCCCCGAGGAGCATGTCCAGCGCGCTGTGGGGCGCGCGACGAACGGGCGGGCCAATTTCGACGACTCCTCCTCTCCTCCTCTCCTGCTGCTGCTTCCCATTTGTTCCTGTTCCCGCTGCTGCTGCTGGCCTTCCTGCCGCTGCTGCCGCTTCCTCCATTTTCTTTTTTCTATGGCGTCGCTGACGTTGCGCGGGCGCGCCTGCTCGGCACGCCGGCGCAACAGGCAGGCCCGCGATTCTGCGCCCGCGATTTCGTCCACGATTTCGGCAACGCGATTTCGGACACGATTTTGCCCGCGATTTCGGACACGATTTTGCCCGCGATTTTCGGCCGTGATTCCGCGCCCCCTTGCAGGGCCCCACGAAACCACCCACGATTTTGAACGCGATATTTTTTCTTATTGATTCCACTGCGATTAAAATCATTGTCAAAAAATGCGCCCCCGCGGAAGGGGGGCAAAAAGAAGCGCGCGAAATCGCGGCCAAAGAAATGCCCCAAATCGTGGTCCAACGCAGAGGGGGAGCAGGGCGCCGCGGAAAGGATCGGGGGTGTCGGGGAGGAGGCCAGGGGCTCCCCCGGGGACCCCCGCTCGGTTGGAGAGGATGCTCTCGCGGCGGGCTGCGCTGCCTCGCGCGGCGGGTTCGCGATTGCGCCGCCGCGCCCGCGGCCGGCCGTCAAGGCCTCGGAGCCGACGTTTGCCGTCAGGCCCCTTTCATCTCCGCCGCCAGCGCATGCAGCCGCGCGCCGCGGCCCCCGGGGGAGAGCACCGGGGCCTCATCGCGGCTGCGGGAGAGTCTGCGCCAGCGGCCCCCGCGCCCGCGGTGGGCCCCACGAGCGCTACTCCCCAGAAGCGGAGTTTGCTCAACTTGCGCGGGCATGAGACCCAACCGCCTCCGGCGTCCCGCCAATTCCCCACGTGGCGTTCGCGCTCGGGCGTTTCTCCTTCACGCAGGGCCTCCAAAGTGGCCCTTTCTTATGGTCCGTCGGTCCCGCGCCGGCGCGTTCCATCATGCATCACCTTGGGGGGTGTTTCTCCCGCGGCCGGGGCAGCGCCTGGCCTTTCGACGGCTGCGCGCGCCGATTCCTCCTGCGCTTCGATTGCGGCTCGCGCCCACATTCGCACGGACGCTATGCCCGACGATTACGGAATGAAGCATGATCGCGGCGATGAGTTCCATGGCGGTCATTCGGCGGCCCGGCTCGGGGGCCGCGTCGGTCGCGCCTCCGCGGCTCGCCCGGCGCGATTCAATGGCGGGGGCAGGCGGCGCGCGGCGATTCGACGGCGCGCGGGCGTTCAAAGATGATTCCCCGCGGTCCAGCTTCAGGAAAGCAACGCGTTGGAAAGTTTACCACTTTGAAATCGTCGCGACCACTTGGGGGGGCTCAAGCCAGAGCCGAGGCGCAAACCGCAAGGGTGCCATTTGTAGCACTTGCCTGTAGCGCTGCTCCTTGGGCGCTTTGGACGCGGCGCCGCGAGAACTCTTAGCCTCTGAAACACTTCGAGCATCTTTATCCCGTCGAAACGTATTCCGGTAGGAATCATCATTGACGCAGTCTCGGCTCGAAGCGGAGGTCACCAATCGGACCCAGCATCTCTATGCTCACTGAACGCAGTCTCACCTCTTCGGTCGGAAACGCCCGTGCCTAGCACAGCGCCGCGGACGGGGGGAGACAACGAGGTCTCCAAGACGCCGGGCGCGGCCCCGCCGACATCCGACAGGTCTTCCTGCGACTTGCTCTTGGAACGGCGCTAGGGGGTGCAAATCAAGGCTCGATCACTGCGACGTCCTCGGGGGCAAGCGCTGCCGCTGTCAGCGCAGACGCGCGTTTTGCTCGGGTACTCGACAGCCTTCTGGCATGGCTGGCTTCCGTGGGCGGAGCTTCGACTGTCGGAGCAACTTGTGCAGATCTGGGCACCTTCGCAGCAGCGGAGTTGGGCCTGTCGCCAACGGAGACAGAGGCGGCCGCGTCTCACTTGTTGGATGACGGCGCCGGTTACGAGAAGATCGATAACCATATCCAGGTGCTGGAAGGGCGCGGCTCTTATTGC